AAGCCTCAAACACCTATATTCTTTTTCCTATCCATAAGAAAATAAAATCACCTCTACATAAAGTAATTAGGTAAATAATCAGAAGACATAATCATTGTATGCGAAGTTCCCTGGAGACCAAAAGGCTTAGAGTGGGTATAGAGAACACAGAAGTGGCGTTAGTACAGAGGGTGGGTGCAACAGTGTGTCCCTTTGGTGTAGAAAGATACAGATGCCGAGAAGCCATTCCACACACTGCGTTGTCCACAAAACCAGACCTGGCAGCCACATGCTGTGGGTTGGCTGCCAAATGTACACCCTTTGGGTTTGCAGAAGCAGAGACCCCCTCCCTCACCCCAGAGCCAAAAGCTGAGCTGCCCCTTCTGCTGATGGCAGGAAAGGTGGTGGAGGGCTGATGCTCCTGCCCATCTGAGTCAGCTGGAGCAGGAGGCGGCCAGGCCTTGGCTGACTTCACAGTGGGGCTGGGCCCCTGCGCACGGAAGGCTGCAGATCGCCATGCATGGACCACAGTGAAGGTGCGGGCTGCAGGGGGTGTGGGCCTCTCTTTCTCCTGCCCGCCTGCCACCCACAGCAGAGGCGTTCAAGCTAACTCATCCAGACTAGTTTTCTTAGCATCTTCAGGTAGCATTTTCAGGAAATAAGCCCCCCTTTTAGAAAGCTGTTTGCCCAATTCATCTTTTCTATCTCAACATTTTCAATTCAAAAATTCAAAGGATTGGGAAACTTTTGCAAATGTCAAGAACACTTGCAGCCCCAACCTAGGACCAAGTGCCCCCTCCAAAGAGTAATGGTTACATACAGGTATATACATTATTCTTTTTTGGGGAACAAACTCAACAGTGTTTGGTCTGGAATGTGTTTAAGGAAAAGGCCAACTTTGCAGAGTGTGAGTACACAGATGTGGAAATAGTACTGTTTCAGAAGAACATGCGAAGATTTCGTGCATTGGTTGACTCAGAGGACCTGCATTTCATTTGCCATAAGTGACTGTGACCTGGGAAAGGGTGTATCTTATTTCTGGTTAGGAAATGGGAGGAGCTGCCTTCTGCTGGCCTTGCTTTTTTATGTCACACATTCAAAGGAGCCCCAGCGATGCACTGCGGAAACAACGCAGGGGGTTCCTGGCTGCGGCAAAGGCCACAACCCTGGCCCTCCTGGCTTCGGTCCTGGAGTGATGGTTCCAGTGTGGCTTCTCCAGTGAAGAAGCAATACTGGCTGTGGATCTGTGTGGGCCACAGGGCCATGGTGGCCAAGGCCTTAAAAATACTGAGTTATCTCTACTGGGTTACAGTCTTTTCTGTTTAAAGTTGTTCATGAAACACCAAATCTCCATGGGTCAATCAGATTAAGCTGTAGCTCCTCAAGGCAGAGAGCCAACCCCCTTTCAGGAGGGGTCACTTGTCCCTGGTGCTCTTGGCCTTTGTTCTAAAGGGGAGTCCCTTTCCTACCCACAATCCATCCAGAACATGCTGGACACCAAGATAGACAAATGAACAGGATGACATCAGCGAGGGTCCTATGCCAAATCTTTCATCAGACGGCTCATGTTTCCTAGAGCCAGAGCCTTGCCTGGTTAGCCAGAGGCATCTTCTTTCAGCAGTGAGACTGCTGAGCTCCTCTGGCTGGACTGGGGCCCTCTGAGAGGTCACAGCTCCTGTGCGGGGGAGGCTGCTGCCTGTGCTCGAAGTGTGACTTCAGAGGTGAGCAGATCACTGCCATAGTGAAGGACGCTAAGCCACGTCTGCTTGGTTTGCATGCTTTCAGCATAGCTCTTTTCTTTAAAAAGGAATCTTGAAGGGAAGGGGGACTTTATCCTTTCTGTTTCTCATGGAGTCAGTGAGAACCTGCACAGCCACAAGCGGCCCTGGCAGTGCTGTCTGTCTGTCTGTTCGGGTGTCCTCCTATCTCCAGGGTTTTCCGTGGTCGTGTGCACTTCACAGAGGCATAACCTGCCTCTCTCAGCTCCACTGCCTGCCCCCAACCCCGACACTGCGGCCCCAGTGCGTGCACTGAAGGCGGGCAGCGAGCAGGCCCCAGGGCCCTTGGAGCAGCCAGTGTTCGGCCTGCTGGGGCCTGCGTGTGCGTTCGCACTCCCTGCTTCAGACAAACACTAGCTGCTCTATGGCCCCACTGGCAACATGAGGACCGGGAGGCCAGGGAGCCCAGGCAGGTGACTGGCGGAAGACCATTCAGATGGTCTATTTCACAATGTAACATTCAAGTGAGAAGAAAAGTTCACTTGCTCTGAGAAGGTGGAAACCAAATGGGAGGCTTGGAGTTGGAGGTGGGGGCGGGGTTCCCCTTTAGCCTCAGCCACACACATAGGCTTTGAGGGCAAGTGTGAGCTGGGTGCACGTATGAAAAATGCTCAGTTACTAGTGGTGGCATTTGTCATCAGTGAGGGTCCTGGGACTCTGCCACCCTGCTTGGCAGGTCTTATGAAAGGCACGTTCAGGGTTCTCTTCCCGTGTTGTAATAAAGCATAAATGATACCGCATCCAGTTGAAGGAGAACCTCTCCCCTTGGCCACTAAGACTCTCTCAGAAGAGCAGAAGTTCTTCCATGGGCTATGTGTTCTCTCCGCCTCCAAACACCACAGGAAATGACCTAAGTCTCCTGGCGAGGTGGACTTGCCTGATTTCCAGCACACAGAGTCTACTTTTGGGCCCAAACCAGTCCCATCTCCTTGCACAATGCAATTGAGACATGAAGTGTTATGGGCCATGAGTGGCCAAGAGCTGACCCCAACAGCAATGAGGATACCTGCTATGGGGCTTCCTTTGCCCCTGCTCTGCACGCTCCAGGTAACGCCTTCTTTCAAACTCACTGAATATAACTTGCGTCCCTCAATCAGCTCCAGACAATAACTTGATCAGCAATAATATAATGTGGTTTCCAAAATTGCTTTCCAAGTGCAACTGACCGCAGAGCACATAGTACAAAGAACTGGTAACTGTTCAGGCATGCATCATAGGTACGAATTTCAGGCAAATTATCACCCCGTTACATCTAATTATTTGCTTTCTTACACTGGAGAAACTTGAATGTCCCATTACACTTGTTAGTAACCAACATTCTACTAACCCCCTGCAGAGATGTTTCAGTGTTCTCAGACAATTCTTTGTGAGATTCATGCCATTGTCCTTCTAAATGAAGGTGGGGAGTCATATCCAACTCGGGTGACACCTGCTTCTTAACTGGATCTGTTGTCATTTTATAGACTTTCCCAGGCTTTTTATGGACTTCAGTTTGAAGAGTAATGGCCTGGATGCATGTGTGGCAGATGCCAAGTGGGATTCCTGCCAAGGGGCTGGGTGCCTATGATGCACGTGGGAACAGGTAGACCAGCTGCCCGTCCCTCCAGCTGCTCTTTAACACACCAGCACTGTCCTAGAGGAGGCAGAATGCAGCTGCCAAAGCAAATAACACTCTGTGCATGTGCGTGTGTGTGTGCGCGCGTGCACATATTGGGGGCTATCATTAAACATCTGGCCTGGACATAGGCAAAGGTGTAGAAGTGATGACAACGGCTTGGCCACCAGAGCCTGCTGAGTCTGGCCAACTATAGGGGAAGGGCATGAGGACAGCAGCCAGGAAAGTCACTGGACGGTCAGATAGACCTACAGGGGTACCCAGTGGGCTTGAGGCTGACTGTAAGGAATGCAGACTCACAGCTGTGCAGGACATGAGGGCTGAGGGAGGACAGCTGGCATTTGGAGCCACCTGCTTGCCTCCCCTACAGAGCATCCTTGAAGTCTCCTTGAAAAGTGGTTTGCCCTGGGTTTCACATGGTGTCAGCTCCAGCCTGCACACAGTCACCATGTGCGTGAACATGGCCCGGTTTGCCTGAGACATTGCTGGTTTGCACATGGAAGTCCTTCATCCCAGGAAATTCTTCAGTTCCAGGTAAACTGCGACCTTTAGTGACCCCTTCCCATCACAGGTCTTTGGTTTTCAGATTGCTGTGGTCAGAGGGATGGCTTCAAGCGCTGGCCGGGCCTGGCTGAGGAGGTCTCCGGCCATCGCTGTTGAGACATCACCTCTCCTCACCACCCCAGGTAAGTGGATTCTTTTCCAAGGCCATTTCCCTCTCCTACTCTGGCTAACATTCGTAACAGAAAAGGGTAACGGAAAGAACTTCTGTGAGTTGGAGGACAATTTAAGTGTCAGATTGGAAATGCATTTTTAAAAAACACAGAGAGAGATGAATTTTAAAACTGCATAGCTGACAGCAGAGCTTTCGTGTGTGATCCCTCAAGGGAACTGGAGCTGGGTGGGAAGTTCACTTTAAAAGAAATGGCACCTCACTCCTGTAACGGAGACTCTAATACCGTCACTGGGTGGGCATCTCCTCAGCAGGGCCAGCCTCTGCAGCCTTGCCTTTAGTCTTGTGGAGCAGGCTTGTTTACTTGTGGCTGCTGAGGGCAAGAGGCCCCTAGGTCTCTGGTTGGCAGGGGATTTGCCAAAGGAGCTGCTAGGAAAGGTTTTCTGCAGGCTGCCTCCCAGAGCGGTGCTGGACGGAAGACCACTCAGCCCTGCGGTCATCTCTCAGAGCCACCCCTCCAAGGCGGTGGGAGAGGGGGGAATGGAAGTAAAGCACACTCTTCACCTTGGAAACATTCTCGGTCCTCTTATTAGAATTTTTAAAAATACCTTAAAATTCTCCTTGGAGGGAAAAAAAGTCTCTTTAAGGTTAACATAAAACTCTACCAACAGCGAGCAGAAGGTATAGGTCACATAACTTAAGAAGCATAGATCAAAAGGACATTTTTCTTAAAAGGAAAAAAATAAAACCCCAATGTGCAATATTTACCAATACTTAAATAATCCAGTTGAAACCTTTTTGTTGTTAATGAAAAAATACAACGTAGATGGTTATCTATAGTGAGAAGAGCGGAAATGACAGGAATTGGGGTAGCAGGATGAAGAAGGTCCATTCCGTCAGAGCTTTGCAAGATTCATATATACAGCACCAGATCCTAGTATATCAGCTCCCTGGAGTCAGTACAGTTTGTGAGAAATGAACACTTCAGAATTGCAGTATAAAATATGGCCATAAAAAACTTCTGTCTTCCAGTCCTGTGCGGGAAGGCGCACCATGCAAGGTGGGATCACTCTGGAGTGGCTGGTGGCGCTGGCGGCCTCTGGGGACCCCCTTCCCTGGCCCCGCCCCCTGGGCCCCAGTGCCAGAGCTGGTCACTTGCTTCCGGAGTGCACTGTCGTCACAGTGGTAGGCCTCGGTCTCCGCTCTGCTCCCACTCCTGAGACCCCTGCCGAAGAGGAAATGAAGCTACAGAGCGTGGAGGGGGCCAGACCTGCAGGGGGACAGTATACCCGAAGGGTCAAAGAGTTTCAGAGAAGATACCCCCTTCCCACAGTGGGGTTGTGGGAGGGTAAACTTTTATGCACTTGACTACATTTGTACCCACCCACAGGAAAACATTTACAATGTGCCCAAAAAGTTTTCTTCTTAGACTCAACTCCTTCTTCCTGTCTTCATTAAAATTCTAAGTGCTTTGTGTTTGAATGTAACAGGGTTTAGCCACCATAATATGACAGGCTCCATTTATTGAGCACTTACTATATATACCAGGCATCAGGCTAGGTACTGAATTGTAAGAGCTGTTTAGTTCTTAACAACAGTTCCATGAAGTAGGGATTTTAAGAATGAAGAAAGAATGTGATCCCCCCTTCTGACCCCTGTGGAGTGTGTTGTCTGTACTCTTGGCTAAAAAACATTGTGAGCACATTGAAATGGTGTTGTTCACCTCTCCTCGTGGGGACTCGGCAGTCCGTGGCCTAGAAAAATGCCTCCCAGCCTGCATGGCAACGCTCCCCATGTTGGCACTGGAAGGCCCTGATGTGGGAGAATCTGCTGCATCTAAGCTCCAGTTGCATGCCTGCTCCCCTCCTCCCCCAAATTTTGTTGACTGCAACAGGAGATCCACACAATAAGTTATTAAGATGGCTTTATTATCAGAGCCATTGTATGAATCTTCAAAGAAATGACCAGTTGTGGGCTCCCTTTGAACGGAGGAGGAATACAATCTATGCTGGAATGTAAATGTGGATATGCAGTGGACATTCATGGAGATTTTTAGGGAAAATTAAAGTTCTCCTGAATGAGGCGTATGTAGAGAGGAAGGGAACCCTTTTCTGAGGGAAATGGGAAGAACTGTGATGGCCAGAGTGAGACCAAGCTGAAGGCTGCCAGTGGCGAGGGAGATGAAGGCCGGTGGGGGCATGCAAGGCAACTGCTCTCAAGCAGAGAGAAGCCACTCGAATGGCTGATGAGAGATTAAGAGAAATACATGGTGCGGGGGAGACAAATAGGGAGAGTGTATGTGTGCCCTCGGGGATGGTATTCCATGCAAGATAAAGGATAATGAAATGTTATTACTTTGACTGCAAAGCCAACGTGCCTAATATAAACCAGCTCCAATTATCATCATCCTCAAAGAAAAAATACGTGTTAAAAGTCAGTGAGATCAGGCTTCATGAATCTCTGCCATCCCTTCCTCAACCCCTGAGAGAGATGCACAATGGGAAGCAAACCACAGGGGAAGGAGAGAGATTAGAAGTGTCTGGGCTTCTGTCCAGACAGACAGGGGGTATGTCCAACCTGAGCCACAGATTTCTCATCTGAAAATGGAAATAATAATACCAAGGGCTGTGTAAGTATTGAATAATTAAGTTTTTAGAAAATACTTTGAACACTGAATAACTTACCGAGGGTTGTGGGAGCAATAAGTGGGACAAATTATTGGAAGAGACTGGCAAGTAGCAAGGTACTCAGCAAGTGACCACGCCCTCCACGCCCTCCTCTTCCCCCGCCATTTGTTCTAAATGTTGGCTGAAAAATTCTGTTTTTGCTACATACGCACAATCTTTCTGGCTGGCCAAACTGAGGTTGCTCGAAACACTTGCATTTGAACTGTCCAGGCTGCTGCCAAGATGTAGTTTTCTCATATGTCTCACAACGGCTGTGGCATTAAACGCTTGCTGAAATTTAAGAAAGGAAAAAGCAGACAAAATATTCCAGCTAATTAGAAAGACTCAGACTGCCTTCTATTACTTCTCCTGTTACCACCAGCATTTCAAACTTCTTAAAACATTCTCATGATACTCTAGAAAGGAAACTTCCATTGACCCTTCTTCCAAAAGTACACCAACTTATTTAACGCCTCCCCCCATCAAAACAGATTTTAGAGATTAAAAAAGATTTTTTCTTCTGACATTAAACATATAGAATATATGAAAACTAATTCTCTCCATGACTTGAGAAGTGACTTTTAGAATTAAAAGGCATATTGTAACAAAATAGTATCTTAAAATATGTTTTAAAATAGCTTTTATTTTTCTATTATCAATGCTTTTGTCCTAAGTTACACCATTTCCTGTACAGTCTTGCTCTGGCTCTCACGGCCAATCAGCCAGCTCTTGGTCACCCATGCTGATGAGAACATAGGGTTTAGGGAACCAGGCAGTGGTTATGAAGCCTCTGTACTTTAATTCCATCACATTTTTATAAGAAAATATTGATGAGTTTGACTCAGAATTCCTGTTTTTTCCCTGTACATGACTTTAACAAAAATTGACTTTTACTTATTACTCAAAATTTCAGCAAAATGAAGGAAAACAACAGGGATTATGTTAAGAAATAGCAAATGAGTAAGAGCTGGCACTATTGCCATTTTTGAATCACACAGGGGAAATATTAAATCCCATACTTGATTCCTCTCACACCATGATACTCCTTCAAGTCCTAATTATTATCAGTTAAAATTGGCAAAATTGTTTGGGTCAGGCTCTGGCGATTTTCAAAGCTGGGTGACAGTAATCTTTAGAAATCAGAAATGCTCAAACTGTAGGGCAAGTTTGTGAGTGATTAAACTCACTGGGAATTTAATAAACATAAGACTTACTCTCCACTTGCTTTTTGCAAAGTTCTTCCTTATCTGGGCGCTGACAGACTCGTGAATGTTTTTGTTGAGGGCTGTGTCCCCAGCGATCCTGAAACAGAGGCAAAGACGCTTCTTCAGAGGGTTTCTTGGGCACCCTGACACTGGGTCCAAGCTGCTTTCCCGGGAAGGCTCCTCTTGTCCCTTTCCCGGATGAGAGGCTGGCTTGCTTCTGCCCTCCCAGGCTGCTTATTCATGCACGGCTTGTCTGAATATGCAGAAGCTGCCCCCAGGTCCCACTGTGCTTCTGTACCCTGCACCCTCCCAGGACACGGCAACCCCTTCTGGGCTGACCTCTCTGCTTGGCTCCCGCTTCTTCCCTTCTTGACCCCAAGTCCTGCAATATTGGAATCCATAACGACAACACGATCAGAATGTAGTCTCCCCCACCTGCACACAGGCTTTCCACCTGCAGTGCTTCGCCTCTGAAGTCTCCAAGTATTCCTGCCTGGTCTGAACCCCAGATGCCCACCTGGGCTGTCTTCCCAGCTTCCTCCTACTCAAGGCCCTGCTCTCTGCCCTCTCCAGACTGCTGCCCCATGGACCCCCCCCATGGACCCACTCATGCTCCTTGCCCACAACTCCTTCTGGCTCTGTCCCAGCAGAACTAGGCTCTGCCGTGTTCTATAGGCCCGCACCTTCTCTCTGCTCAGAGAGAGGGACCCCGGCCTTAGGCAGCCGTGCATGGCACATCTTCTACTCTTGCATGGCCCAGAGAAGTTCTCAGAACTGCCAGGATTGTGTCCCCTCGACATTAACTGGATCCTGGACATGACTGGACCTTGTTCTTCTTGGTCCTCAGCCTCTCACTAGCAGGGAAGGAGGTTTGCTTGCTCTGCACCTCCTGTCCTTAGAAATCCCCCCCCTCACCCAATTACTTCCTCTTGTTTTACCACCTTTCCCTGTCTCTTTCAGGTCCTACCCCCACATCCTCTCTCTCTCACCTTACAATGCCCTGGAGATCCCCCACAGCCCATTCTCCTCCCATACCTCTCTCAGCCTCAGTGCCACCCTCCCTCTGGACTCAGTCACCTGGCCTTCCCTCATTTTGGGGTAAGCTGTGTTTTGCTCTCCATCTTTCTGGGCTTGGATCCTTCTATCTTCCCTTTCATTTAATACCAAGTGATAAAATTCTAGGGTGGTATCTGATGCCTAAGAAATAATGTTTTGAATCTCAGAAAAGTTAAGGGTCAGATTCCTGGGACAGTGACCATGTTTTCAGGCTGGGAGATGACTGGGAAGTGGGGAAACCTGTCATCTCCAGACCCAGATGGCCCAGGGCCCAAAACAGCCTGGATGCCACAGATTACTACATCCAACTGTTTGTGGAAATGAAAGGAACAAGCTTAGGGCTTATTCAGAGAAGATATCATCCTGGGTTCCAACCCACCCAGTCTTTTACTTTATGATTGAAAACATGGTTGATGGACTGGACATTTAGCCTGTACCAGGCTGGGCCTAAGTTAGAACACAGTATGATGTCCCCCTACATGGACTCCTCTCCTTTTCTTGGCAGGGCTGAAAATATTTAGCCAATAGGACGTCCTACTCAGAAACTAACTGAAGCAGGTTTCTATTTCTAACATCTGTCATTTGCCTCCTTCCTCAGGCACATATCCGTGAATAGAAATAGGATAGCTGAGTGGGCAATCCATCTGAAACATGAGCTACCAGCAGGTTCAGGGACTTAGATATCTTTATTAGGCTTTTGTCCTAGAGAACTCATGTGTTTCCTTCTGCACTGTTTTTAACAGCTACATCCTCAGAAAAGGAGACCAGTTCCAACGCATCACTGGCCAGCTCTTTCTTGGAAAAGCATGGGCAGAAGTGGCAGGAAGTATGGAATTCCTTGAGCTGAGCACCACTGCGGGCAGAGCCATGCTCCAAACCAAACAGGCCAGCGAGGAAGACTCTCTTCTCTGTGGGTTAGCATGGGCTGAGATGTAAGGAAATGCAAACTCCCGATTATTTTAGGAATGTTCCCTGCTCCCTTCCCACAGTCCTAGGGTGTGCCAGAGCTGCATACGAATCAAGCAGGGCACATAGTAGCCCAGAGGCCCCGTGGGGAGGTGCGGCCACCTTGGCCCATGACAGTACGTGATCATCCTCTAATGGGCACCACATGGGAGTTGCTGCTGCTGCTCACGATGAGCCGGAAGGTTCACAGTGAAGGCGTATGGTGATGCTCAGTGCCACCAGCTTCAGAATTCAGTGCAACTGGAGGCAAGGAATCTTGGAATTGTAAGGGACCTTCCTTGTCACCTTGACTGTCCTGGGAGTGAACAATGCCTGACCATCTCTAATCTCTATGAGCCGCCATTACTTTATTATTGTTCTATTGCAGAATAATGTCCTTATAAATCTGTATACACACACAATTCTATGGGCACCCACAATTCACTGAGGTCTCTTGTTCTCCCTTCCTTCTAGTTTTTGCCTCTAAACTAACAATGTGGGCAGCATTTATGTGAACCACACTTCGTGGGGCCTATCCTACTCTCCTTCTGCACACACAGATCAAACTCACCTCTCCTTGCCTTTTGTGTTTCTGTGTTTTGTACACAGTCTACTCCACATCCACAGCTCCGATTTCATGTTTTCCTCTGAGGAGATGGCTGCAGGCACCACCTTGGCCTGGCCAACAGATGTGCCCCACAAAGGAGTGCCTGGCTGAATGTCACCTGGGGACCTGATGCCAGGATCATCCCTTGATTTGCTTGTCAGTCAAACTAGACAGAGTTGCGGAACAATCCAAACAAGATAAAGAAACTCTGCCAAGGGGCCTCCCTGGAGCTGGGAGTGGGCACCCGTTCTGCCACTTGCCACTCCCTGCTCTTTGGCCATCAGCCAGCAGTCTGCTGGTTCTGCACCATGGGCCACTGAAAGAAAGGCAAATCTGCCAGTGGTAGGGGCTTGAGAAACAGCTGGTAAGATGGGCTGACTGCCCTACACAAGGAGAGCTTTGAAAGGAGCCCTCTCCTGTCAGGGGAGTTCTGTTTTGGGGCTAAGGGAAGGCACCTGTGTCTTCCAGAGGCCCTTTCTGGCCCCATGTGGCCATGCTTATGTTGGAAGAGCAAGTGCAGCATAAGAAATAATGTTCTTGGGATATAATTGGTGTCAAGACCATACCTTCCAGAATGGTGATACTGATAAAGCTACGCTTCCCTGGAATAATGACTCCACTTTCTGCCAGCTCCCAGCTTGATCCTTGTTCTCCTCTGCCTGGCCAGTTTTACACAAAGAAACCATTATTATCATGAATGCAGGTAGCAAGGGATGCTTGCCTCAAATGCATTTGTTTTTATCAGTTTCCAATATTTGACTTCCTGGAAATTTTGATACACAGCAAAAGGTTTTAGCTCTATAAGAAAACCACTTGTGAGTAAGAAAGCATTTACTTGTACAGCTTACATGGGACCCAGGCGGAGGACTCTGAAGTCTTCATCTCTGCCTGGCCTTCTCCCTGGGCTCTAGGCTCACCCAGCCAAGTACCCCACAGATCTCTGTCTAGATGGCTGCCAGTACCTTCCTCAGTCCCCCTCACTCCAGCCTGCTTGTCTCCCAGCCCCATCCTCCTCCCCGTCCCTTAGACTGGAACCTCAGGAGAGCCTCAGACCCCTCGGTAGCAGCACTGTCAGGTTGGATAGGCTGCCTCCACCCCACTTTACACCTCCCTTCTGTGCCTTCCTGCCACATCTCCAACAATGCATCCCCTATTCTGCAGCCAGGCTGAGCTTTCTAAAATGCAAATCTAACTATCCTGCTAAAACCTGTCAAGGCTCCCACTGCCCAAAGGGAAGTTGCACATTCCTAAGTACAACAGTAAAAGAATGGCAGCTCATAGAGATTGACTATGGTTAATGACGCCATATGGTATACTAGAAAGTTACTAAGAGAATAAATCATAAAAGTTCTTATCACAGGGGAAAATTTTTTTGATAACTACAGAAGGTGAAGGTGATGGATGCTAACCAATTTATTGAGGTAATCATTTCACAATACATACATATATCGAGTCATTATGGCATACATCTTAAATGTATATAGTGTATATCAGTGATCTCAATAAAATTTTAAGAAGAAGAAAGATTAATACATCTGTAAAGGCCTATTGTTATAAAGTAAGAAGACCTTTACTAACTTGGTTGTCACATACTTTGACCTACTGTTCAGTGTAACTTACTAAAAAAATATCAAGATGATACATGATCCAAACTGTCCCCTTATTCAGAAACTTCTGTCCTTCCCTCTCCAGCCCAGTCCTGCCTCTGCTTTTAGAAGTGTATTCATTCTGGAGCCAGACAGCTCTGGCTGGAAACAGTTCTGGCTTTGCCATTAGCTATCTGTACAATCTTGGCTAAGTTCCTTTGTCTTTCTAAATCTATTTCCTTATCTCTGAAGTACAGACAAAACCTACCTTACAGGGTTATTATAAAGAAAGAAGGAGATGATATTTTAACGCAATTAGAACAGTGCATGTAACACAACAGGTGCTCAATAAATGACTGCTGTTATTATAAGTTAAAATATAGACCTTCTTCAACTCATGACAGGATCATGTCCTGATAAACACATTTCAAGCTGAAAATATCATAATTTGAAAATGCATTTAATACACCTAAATACTGCACATCATAGCCTAGCCTTACCTACCTAAATGTGCTCAGAATGCATACATGAGCCTACAGATGGGCAAATCACCTAACCCGAAGCCTATTTGGTAACAAAGTGGTGACTACGTCATGTAGCTGACTGATGACTGCATTGAAAGAGAAGAGCAGAATGGCTGTGTGGGTCCAGAACAGCTGTCGGTGTACCAGTTGTTGGCCCTCCTGACTGCGGGGCTGACTGGGAGCTGTACTTGCTGCCCTGCCCAGCCCAACACCACAAGAGTGGATCCATGGGAAACACATTTCTGCTGAATGTGCATTGTGTTTGTACCCTTGTAAAGCTGAAAATCGTTAAGTCAGGGATCATCTGTACTGGGAAGAGGGTCATGACACTCCTGTAAACAGGTCCCCTTGAAAGGTTCATCAGCATGTGGGACCCTGGAGGAAAAGCTACAGGAGATGGGGGGATAGACAGAGGGTAGCTTGCAAGAGTGCCTCTTGGGGACTTGGTCCTAAAGTCTAGGTCTGTCCATTAGTTTTCTTTATAGTGTGTACTTCACTACTCATGGTCTTTGCTTCCAAATGGATGTTCTGTGCTTAGTAATAATGAAGTGTTTACCACATACCAGGCGTTGTTGCTAAGTCCCTGATATGCATTATTTCCATTATTTCTTATATCAGCCCTGTAAACTAGGTGTCATTACTCTTATCTTAAAGATGAGAAAATTGAGGGTCAGGGAAGTTAAGTATAAACCCAAAGTCACAGCTAGTTGATAGTTAAGCTGGGATCAAATCTGGTAGGTGGCCCAGGGGCACTGCTGGAAACAGAGTATAGAATGCTGCAAGTGATCATCTGGAAATGAATATATAACACTAGCTCACTTACCTACTGAAAAATAAACTCGAGGAATGAAACTCCAATCTTAATGCCTCCTTGAGGAATTACCTTCAATAAAAATGATCCTAAAATACCTCAGGTAAAATGAGAAAGTGACAGCTACCTTTTGCATACTTAAGTTGTCACTACAGTGCTCAGAAAACTGTGTCCTGGGGGACAAGAAGAGTTCAGTGTTGGCTTGGGGAAAGGATTCAGGCCACTGGCCAGGGCAGTGCAGTGGTTATGCGGCTTTCACAGGTAAGAGCCGCCAACAGAAGTCAGCTCTGGAAGGTGTTAGATGGCATGGGCTGCCTAGGGGGTGATCTTGCTTACCATGGGTGCCGGGCTGCCTGTTCACATGTGTATCTTTTATTTGGATCTTTCTCCATCAGATTCCGGATGAAGTCTTTTGCTGTTTGAAAAGAAAGCACACAGGGTGGAATCAGATTGTGGTGGGAGATGCGACAGCATGTTACTACCAGGTCTTCAGGAGTATCCTACATGGCATGGACACTATGAGACCAGCCCTCCACGGACCCTAGAGTTCCTTGGACCAGTATCTACGGGAAGGGAAGCCAAAGCTTGGGACTCTAAGAGGTGACCCAGCAAATGAGGAGGCAGCCACACCAGGCTTGGGACCCCACCTTGCCAGCTCAAAGCCCCTTCCTGCTGACAGCTAGTGACACCGCTGGTTCAGAGAAAAGATCATCTAGCTTTGCTACCAAGTGCTTCTCTTTCAGCTCACCGCTGCCCCAGGGGACTGTTCTGCTGATGCCCTCTCCATATTTTAGACCTCATTAATCCAACAAAATCCCCTGAGCATCCAGTGAGCCCACCAGGTCCTGGACTAGGAAGTGTGGATATGCAGCCCTGAAGAAACCCCACCGGCAACCCATGAAGCCAAATTCAATGAGCAGGAGACTGTGCAGCAGCACCATGCACCCTGGCGGGCAAGGGGACAGTGAGAGGAGGCCCAAGGGTGTGACCCTGAAGCAAGACACTGAGAACATGAGGGACTGAGTCACAGCACTAGAAAATGACACCCTTCACTGGGCTGGACATCTGTAGCATTGCAGGACCTGGATGCTCACTGCCCACAGGACTGGACTTCTGGGGAAGGCCATGCCCTCCCCAGCTCAGAAGTGCAATATGCCCCAAGCAGCTCTCCTGTGCAAGCCCTGGAGAACAGGACTACAGTCCCAGGTTTTAGAAGATTCAGGAAGAAAGCATGGTGTTTCCAGTTTGGAGGAAATAATATAGACAATAAAATGTGACATCTGAATAGCTCATCAGTCATTAGACAGTCTGTCCCATTTTTGTCCCATTTATTACTGTGTTCAGTCCTTGTGCCACCCTCTGTGGCAGAGGGGAGTCTTATTACCATCCTCATCTTTTTCAGAGGAAACTGAGGCTTTAGAGATCCCATCAGTTGACATGGGCCTTGGTTTTAATCTTTATCTCTGACAAGGACACAATGAATGCCCTTCATGGTTTCAGTGTGGCAGAGTGGCTGAAATGCGGGTGAGGGCAGGGGCTCATGTCCCAGCTCTGCAGCTTTAGCCAAGTTATTTCACCTTCCAGGGCCTCAGTTTCCTCATCTGTCAAACAAGGATAATAATAATAATACCCACCTGATTGGTTGTCTGAGGACTGAATCACAGCACATGTGCACAGTTCATAGTGCTCAGTGCACAAGAGCACTCAATAAATGGTGGCTAACATTGTTTCACTCTGGGAGCATCCAGATCACGGGGCTGATGCCCCAAGCCTGGCCTCTGCTTTGCAAGTCAAGTCCAAGTCTGCAGCTCCTGAAGCTTCCTCAGGAGCCCCAAGACCTGTCAGGTCAGGTGGTCGGGCGTGAGGGCCCCAGGGGCCACCCACAGAGCTGAGACCTACCAGATTCTGAGATGTCATCCCAGTAGGGGGAGTCAAACTCATATTCCGCCTTGAGGATCTGTTCAAAGAGCTTGGAGTCATTCTCATCATAAAAAGGAGGGTAGCCACAGAGCCTGGAAAACAAGACGGTGCGAGGGTCTGAAGTGGCTGTGTATCCAGTGCTGTGGCCTGACATTTTGCCTGGATGGAAGAGCCATATTGTCTCACAGAGGAAACGTGTGAATGTGCACTGCAAAAATACAATCTCAGCAAAGAAACCACATGTTCTAAAGGTGTAGGAGCACAGAAGTAAAACTGTGATTTAACAATTGCAAAAACAGTTATGTCAGGTGATGACTGAAGGCAAACATGCCCATCTTAACTCTCTGCACATTATTAACCATAGTTGCCTACATCCTAGAAACCCAATGTTATCAATCTTAGTGTCTATAGCATTGTCCCTAACAGACGGTGTATTGGTGGAACAAACAATATGTGTTTAGTATGCATTTCAGGGCCCTTCCAGTTCATCTTATTTAATAAAGCATCGTGAGAAGAAAAGAAAAATTTACAAGTGTCAGTAACCAAGTTGCCTCAAGCTGCCTACACAGCACATCACCACCCACCACACCCAAACAGGGATTTGCAAAGTTATAGTTTTGGCCATTAATATGCAGTAAATGTAAAAGTGTAAGTTGGCATAAATTATAATTCTATCATATTTTTCCCACTGAATGCTTTCAAAGTTGATTTTTAAAAGAACTTAGTAGGATGATGGTGCAAGTAACATATATTTCTAGAGGTGCTCAGAGTCATCTGATGACACAATTGGACTAGAAGTTTTTATTAAATAGCCCAAACACCATTCATTCCATAAAACTGTGTGTTCTCACTCCAGCCATCCTGCTATCAGCTCTGATGTGACCTTTGCCATAATAGGCTATTGACACATTTACTGGACCAAAAACTTCCTCATCTGAACACGTGGAGGACAGACTAGAAAATTCCTGGTATTCTCTCCAGCGCTAAGATGCTGTGGCTCTGGGACTCCAGTTGACCAGCTGGCTAAGAGACCCAGGAAAGACATGAACACACATGAGGCCCAGGGGCACGGCTGGGGCAGGCCCTGGTTGGGTCAGGACAGGGAAGACGTAGGATTCAAGCTGCAGCTGAAAGTGACAGAGGAGACAAGGCTGGATTCCAGAAGACTGGGACCAAAGCCAGGTGTTACAGAATTTGGTTCTGGGCCTGTGACAACCCAGAGGGTGGCAGCCAAAGCGGAGTGTTGCCCCCAAACGAGCCCTGAACCTTCCCGCAGAGCAAAACTGCACCAGGCACAACTACTGCCTCGAGACCAGTTTAATGAGAACCAATTAACAGGAATCCACAGACTCCAGGCCTGTGAGGGATTAGGCTGTCAGCAAGTGAGAAACTTAATAAAGGTTCAAAACACAGCCTGGGAACAGTCTTTCTTCAGTGGCTCCTTCAGAGACGCATGGTATCGCCAGCCACGCTGCACAGGGGAATGGCTGCTGACATTTTTAAAGGCTGTGAGACATTTTGTGGGCCACTAAGATTCAAAATCATCTATCCCACAAGGTTGACTTGGGGGCTAAGTGCCCAGAAAATTTCATTTTTAAAGATCTGCTGCTTTTGGAGAAATGGGTAAGAGCCAGTGCTTCTGAAACCACTAAGCACATATTTCACTGCTCAGGGAACCCTGGGGCCAGGAGATGGATATGTACAGGTTTCCCACAATGAGGATTTGGGCTAAATGAAATGTGCACATTAGGAAAGGCAGAGCAACATGTTAGTTCGTCTTGGAAAATAAATTTTATCTATGTGGTGTGTTTTTATTTATTAACAACTGAGTGTGTTCTTTCACAGTTTGGCTTTTTTTTCAAGGAAAAAATGTCTTTAAGAGAATCCCAAGAAAAAATTATTCTTGTTGTGCCTATTTTCCTAACATATATCCCAATTTCTTCTTGTTTTAGCTCGTTTTTTAAGGGAGGGTAATAGAATACTGTGTTTATATAGCTTTACTGAGGATGGAAGAGAAGGAAATGGATCTAGCTTGTAAAGTAAGTCAAAACTAAGAAAGCGGATTTTAAAACGAAGATTGTAAAAGAGCTGAAGGACAACCAGAAATTATAAAGCTTTCTTCAGGTGTAGAAATTTCACAGTGCTTCCTGGCTAGGCTATCTCCTTAGGAGGTTTGTGTGGAGGGCCCAAATAGGAGAAATAAGCACTCTTGAGTTGTCTCCATATTCAGAGCAGAGCACTGATTTCAGAGTCCCAGACCTGGCCTTGTGCAGGTGTAATCTCTGTGTTCTTATTTTACTTATCATACCATCTAAATAACATACAAATTTGCTCACCATGGGTATTCAAAGATGAAAAATCCATTCTCAATTGTTCTAGACCTGAAAGTTCATGGTTCAGAATAACATCTAAACTTGCCATCCCAGTGACCGAGGGTCACAGCCAATGCAGGCACCACACCTTTCCGGGGCTCGTCCACTGTCTCCGTCCCAACCTCAGGTGGTCATCTGGGGAGAAACCTTACACTTCGTAGGCTGTCCTGTTGCTATGTAGTTTGCTGTCTGAACCTCCTGTGGCACATTTGCACAAGTTACTACTATATTATATTAAAAACTTAGCCTTTGTATTGGGTCAAAACTCCACTAAGAGCTTTGCTGTATTGTCTGACCCAAACCTTACTCCCTCAGAAGGTGGGTGTCCCTGATACCTTCCACTCATCTATTAGAGCCACTGTCCATACTGCTTGGTGCCCTGGGAGGCTAGCCTGTATAGACAGCTAAATGGGGGTTTAACTTTGCCGTCTGGTAGGGGTTGGCCAATGGACGCATGACTAGAGAAAGGGAAGGAGGGAGGGAATCAGGCAGGATAAGTGCTGCCCCAGCCCCCTGTTGCCTCGCACTAGGCTGGTTATATTCTTGACTGAGGCCACTGTTCCTCTCCAGGGAGGGCACACTACCAGACTCTCTCCCTCAGGGTCTGACTACGGCTCCCTGCCCCCCGCCATCACCTTGGATAGAGGGCTGTTTGTGGCTCAGCAGCTGTATTGCTCAGGGTCCTGGTGCTATTCCTTGTGCTTGTGGTGCTCTCAACACCACACCTTGTACATGGCCCCTTGCACGATTCTCATTTTAAAGGCAAAGAAAATAATATGCAGCAAAGTCAGGACTTGAGCCTTGGCTGATTCCAGGCCTGTGTTATTAATGATTTACTTTTCAATGAAGGGAAGGAGGCTTGAGAATTGAACCTTCTGTTTCAGTCTTGACTTTGAAGTCTCTCTCTGGGTTGTAGTTTGCCCACTGGCCCCTTCATCTGCAATTAGAATGGGTGGCCGGACTGACTCTTCCAGCACCCTTGCCGCCTTTAGATGTATGCTAACATGCTTAGAGCTGGCTCCCTGCCCACTGGGCACTTTGTTTCTGGACCAAGAAGAAAACATGCACTTTACCTGGGCTCTCCTGCCTTCACCACTTCCCTTGACTTTGGCCCACCCTTAGAGTCTAGCTGGGGTTACCGGGAGCCCCAACCCCTTCCTGCCAGATTGGGTACTGCTCTGCTCTGTGCTCTGTGGAAGTGGCAGAGCCCTGGCAACACTTCTTAATGTACGCGTACGCTGCTCTGGCCTGTCCCCAACTTCTTAAGGCAGGACTATGTCTGCTGTCTTATGCTTGTCTGTGGGTCCTCAGTGCGCAGCCCAGGGCCTGCCCACAGCAGACGCTGGTAACTGTGTGGATAATGAGTACACCCTTGAAGAAGTAGCTTCATCATTACGGGAAGGGAAGCCAAAGCTTGGGACTCTAAGAGGTGACCCAGCAAATGAGGAGGCAGCCACACCAGGCTTGGGACCCCACCTTGCCAGCTCAAAGCCCCTTCCTGCTGACAGCTAGTGACACCGCTGGTTCAGAGAAAAGATCATCTAGCTTTGCTACCAAGTGCTTCTCTTTCAGCTCACCGCTGCCCCAGGGGACTGTTCTGCTGATGCCCTCTCCATATTTTAGACCTCATTAATCCAACAAAATCCCCTGAGCATCCAGTGAGCCCACCAGGTCCTGGACTAGGAAGTGTGGATATGCAGCCCTGAAGAAACCCCACCGGCAACCCATGAAGCCAAATTCAATGAGCAGGAGACTGTGCAGCAGCACCATGCACCCTGGCGGGCAAGGGGACAGTGAGAGGAGGCCCAAGGGTGTGACCCTGAAGCAAGACACTGAGAACATGAGGGACTGAGTCACAGCACTAGAAAATGACACCCTTCACTGGGCTGGACATCTGTAGCATTGCAGGACCTGGATGCTCACTGCCCACAGGACTGGACTTCTGGGGAAGGCCATGCCCTCCCCAGCTCAGAAGTGCAATATGCCCCAAGCAGCTCTCCTGTGCAAGCCCTGGAGAACAGGACTACAGTCCCAGGTTTTAGAAGATTCAGGAAGAAAGCATGGTGTTTCCAGTTTGGAGGAAATAATATAGACAATAAAATGTGACATCTGAATAGCTCATCAGTCATTAGACAGTCTGTCCCATTTTTGTCCCATTTATTACTGTGTTCAGTCCTTGTGCCACCCTCTGTGGCAGAGGGGAGTCTTATTACCATCCTCATCTTTTTCAGAGGAAACTGAGGCTTTAGAGATCCCATCAGTTGACATGGGCCTTGGTTTTAATCTTTATCTCTGACAAGGACACAATGAATGCCCTTCATGGTTTCAGTGTGGCAGAGTGGCTGAAATGCGGGTGAGGGCAGGGGCTCATGTCCCAGCTCTGCAGCTTTAGCCAAGTTATTTCACCTTCCAGGGCCTCAGTTTCCTCATCTGTCAAACAAGGATAATAATAATAATACCCACCTGATTGGTTGTCTGAGGACTGAATCACAGCACATGTGCACAGTTCATAGTGCTCAGTGCACAAGAGCACTCAATAAATGGTGGCTAACATTGTTTCACTCTGGGAGCATCCAGATCACGGGGCTGATGCCCCAAGCCTGGCCTCTGCTTTGCAAGTCAAGTCCAAGTCTGCAGCTCCTGAAGCTTCCTCAGGAGCCCCAAGACCTGTCAGGTCAGGTGGTCGGGCGTGAGGGCCCCAGGGGCCACCCACAGAGCTGAGACCTACCAGATTCTGAGATGTCATCCCAGTAGGGGGAGTCAAACTCATATTCCGCCTTGAGGATCTGTTCAAAGAGCTTGGAGTCATTCTCATCATAAAAAGGAGGGTAGCCACAGAGCCTGGAAAACAAGACGGTGCGAGGGTCTGAAGTGGCTGTGTATCCAGTGCTGTGGCCTGACATTTTGCCTGGATGGAAGAGCCATATTGTCTCACAGAGGAAACGTGTGAATGTGCACTGCAAAAATACAATCTCAGCAAAGAAACCACATGTTCTAAAGGTGTAGGAGCACAGAAGTAAAACTGTGATTTAACAATTGCAAAAACAGTTATGTCAGGTGATGACTGAAGGCAAACATGCCCATCTTAACTCTCTGCACATTATTAACCATAGTTGCCTACATCCTAGAAACCCAATGTTATCAATCTTAGTGTCTATAGCATTGTCCCTAACAGACGGTGTATTGGTGGAACAAACAATATGTGTTTAGTATGCATTTCAGGGCCCTTCCAGTTCATCTTATTTAATAAAGCATCGTGAGAAGAAAAGAAAAATTTACAAGTGTCAGTAACCAAGTTGCCTCAAGCTGCCTACACAGCACATCACCACCCACCACACCCAAACAGGGATTTGCAAAGTTATAGTTTTGGCCATTAATATGCAGTAAATGTAAAAGTGTAAGTTGGCATAAATTATAATTCTATCATATTTTTCCCACTGAATGCTTTCAAAGTTGATTTTTAAAAGAACTTAGTAGGATGATGGTGCAAGTAACATATATTTCTAGAGGTGCTCAGAGTCATCTGATGACACAATTGGACTAGAAGTTTTTATTAAATAGCCCAAACACCATTCATTCCATAAAACTGTGTGTTCTCACTCCAGCCATCCTGCTATCAGCTCTGATGTGACCTTTGCCATAATAGGCTATTGACACATTTACTGGACCAAAAACTTCCTCATCTGAACACGTGGAGGACAGACTAGAAAATTCCTGGTATTCTCTCCAGCGCTAAGATGCTGTGGCTCTGGGACTCCAGTTGACCAGCTGGCTAAGAGACCCAGGAAAGACATGAACACACATGAGGCCCAGGGGCACGGCTGGGGCAGGCCCTGGTTGGGTCAGGACAGGGAAGACGTAGGATTCAAGCTGCAGCTGAAAGTGACAGAGGAGACAAGGCTGGATTCCAGAAGACTGGGACCAAAGCCAGGTGTTACAGAATTTGGTTCTGGGCCTGTGACAACCCAGAGGGTGGCAGCCAAAGCGGAGTGTTGCCCCCAAACGAGCCCTGAACCTTCCCGCAGAGCAAAACTGCACCAGGCACAACTACTGCCTCGAGACCAGTTTAATGAGAACCAATTAACAGGAATCCACAGACTCCAGGCCTGTGAGGGATTAGGCTGTCAGCAAGTGAGAAACTTAATAAAGGTTCAAAACACAGCCTGGGAACAGTCTTTCTTCAGTGGCTCCTTCAGAGACGCATGGTATCGCCAGCCACGCTGCACAGGGGAATGGCTGCTGACATTTTTAAAGGCTGTGAGACATTTTGTGGGCCACTAAGATTCAAAATCATCTATCCCACAAGGTTGACTTGGGGGCTAAGTGCCCAGAAAATTTCATTTTTAAAGATCTGCTGCTTTTGGAGAAATGGGTAAGAGCCAGTGCTTCTGAAACCACTAAGCACATATTTCACTGCTCAGGGAACCCTGGGGCCAGGAGATGGATATGTACAGGTTTCCCACAATGAGGATTTGGGCTAAATGAAATGTGCACATTAGGAAAGGCAGAGCAACATGTTAGTTCGTCTTGGAAAATAAATTTTATCTATGTGGTGTGTTTTTATTTATTAACAACTGAGTGTGTTCTTTCACAGTTTGGCTTTTTTTTCAAGGAAAAAATGTCTTTAAGAGAATCCCAAGAAAAAATTATTCTTGTTGTGCCTATTTTCCTAACATATATCCCAATTTCTTCTTGTTTTAGCTCGTTTTTTAAGGGAGGGTAATAGAATACTGTGTTTATATAGCTTTACTGAGGATGGAAGAGAAGGAAATGGATCTAGCTTGTAAAGTAAGTCAAAACTAAGAAAGCGGATTTTAAAACGAAGATTGTAAAAGAGCTGAAGGACAACCAGAAATTATAAAGCTTTCTTCAGGTGTAGAAATTTCACAGTGCTTCCTGGCTAGGCTATCTCCTTAGGAGGTTTGTGTGGAGGGCCCAAATAGGAGAAATAAGCACTCTTGAGTTGTCTCCATATTCAGAGCAGAGCACTGATTTCAGAGTCCCAGACCTGGCCTTGTGCAGGTGTAATCTCTGTGTTCTTATTTTACTTATCATACCATCTAAATAACATACAAATTTGCTCACCATGGGTATTCAAAGATGAAAAATCCATTCTCAATTGTTCTAGACCTGAAAGTTCATGGTTCAGAATAACATCTAAACTTGCCATCCCAGTGACCGAGGGTCACAGCCAATGCAGGCACCACACCTTTCCGGGGCTCGTCCACTGTCTCCGTCCCAACCTCAGGTGGTCATCTGGGGAGAAACCTTACACTTCGTAGGCTGTCCTGTTGCTATGTAGTTTGCTGTCTGAACCTCCTGTGGCACATTTGCACAAGTTACTACTATATTATATTAAAAACTTAGCCTTTGTATTGGGTCAAAACTCCACTAAGAGCTTTGCTGTATTGTCTGACCCAAACCTTACTCCCTCAGAAGGTGGGTGTCCCTGATACCTTCCACTCATCTATTAGAGCCACTGTCCATACTGCTTGGTGCCCTGGGAGGCTAGCCTGTATAGACAGCTAAATGGGGGTTTAACTTTGCCGTCTGGTAGGGGTTGGCCAATGGACGCATGACTAGAGAAAGGGAAGGAGGGAGGGAATCAGGCAGGATAAGTGCTGCCCCAGCCCCCTGTTGCCTCGCACTAGGCTGGTTATATTCTTGACTGAGGCCACTGTTCCTCTCCAGGGAGGGCACACTACCAGACTCTCTCCCTCAGGGTCTGACTACGGCTCCCTGCCCCCCGCCATCACCTTGGATAGAGGGCTGTTTGTGGCTCAGCAGCTGTATTGCTCAGGGTCCTGGTGCTATTCCTTGTGCTTGTGGTGCTCTCAACACCACACCTTGTACATGGCCCCTTGCACGATTCTCATTTTAAAGGCAAAGAAAATAATATGCAGCAAAGTCAGGACTTGAGCCTTGGCTGATTCCAGGCCTGTGTTATTAATGATTTACTTTTCAATGAAGGGAAGGAGGCTTGAGAATTGAACCTTCTGTTTCAGTCTTGACTTTGAAGTCTCTCTCTGGGTTGTAGTTTGCCCACTGGCCCCTTCATCTGCAATTAGAATGGGTGGCCGGACTGACTCTTCCAGCACCCTTGCCGCCTTTAGATGTATGCTAACATGCTTAGAGCTGGCTCCCTGCCCACTGGGCACTTTGTTTCTGGACCAAGAAGAAAACATGCACTTTACCTGGGCTCTCCTGCCTTCACCACTTCCCTTGACTTTGGCCCACCCTTAGAGTCTAGCTGGGGTTACCGGGAGCCCCAACCCCTTCCTGCCAGATTGGGTACTGCTCTGCTCTGTGCTCTGTGGAAGTGGCAGAGCCCTGGCAACACTTCTTAATGTACGCGTACGCTGCTCTGGCCTGTCCCCAACTTCTTAAGGCAGGACTATGTCTGCTGTCTTATGCTTGTCTGTGGGTCCTCAGTGCGCAGCCCAGGGCCTGCCCACAGCAGACGCTGGTAACTGTGTGGATAATGAGTACACCCTTGAAGAAGTAGCTTCATCATTGCCTGCTGAGCCCTGGCTGGGCTCTGAAACAGAGATAAGGATCCAGGAAGCAGGGGGGCTCACCACGGCCCAGGCCAGGGGGCCCTCACAGATCCCCCCTACCCTGATTCCTCCTCCCTCTTGCATGTTACCTCCACTAGGAGGCAGTACAAAGGCACTGCTGTGTCACTGACATTTCAGAGGAACCCAGTGCTCAAGGCTCATCACTGCAAGTGACTTGGCCTCTCTTCGAAGAGACAATGCAATGTAGTTTGGGTTTCCCAAAATGCCACTCTTGGACATGGACACATTCTGTAAAGGAGAAAGTTTTTTATGAAGGACAGGCTTTTAACATAAATGACTGTGAAAATCAGCAATGGCCAACTATGGCCAATTCATCAGTGCACAGTTTTTCTTGGAAACCAAGATGCTGTGGTCACGTAGGAATTCCTGCTGCGAGGCCCTGGCAGTTCACTGTGGTGACTGTGCTACATCCAGTGATGCCTTCCTGTGTGTCTGCCCTTGGCCATGCAGCTGCATCCCTATGAAGGATTTCCAAACAATGATCAATTGCTACCTCTTATCCTTTTATGTAACTTTTTTTCCCATAATTCACCTCAGCCTTCTATGTTCTTACATGGTTCTTGGACCAATGAACTATAGATTTAAGATCCTGTTTTTCTTCTTTTGGTGCTGGAGACAGACACAGATAGGACAAGAGGATGCTGCTATCAGAAGTGGTGGTAGGCACTGAGATGTCACCTTACACATGTTAGCATAGATGTTAGCAAAATACAAAAGTTAACAAGTATTGTGGAAAAGGGAACCCTTGTGCTCTGATGGTGGGAATGCAAATTGGTGCAACCACTATGGAAAACAGTATGGAGGTTCCTTGAAAAGTTAAAAATACAACTGTCATATGATCCAGCAATTCTGCTTCTGGACAGAGTACCAAAGGAAATGAAGTCAGTACCTTGGAGAGCTACCTGCAGCCCTATGGTCACTGCAGCATTACTCACAATGGCCAAGACATGCAACAACCCAAGTGTCCATTGAGATGAATGCATGACGTTGTGATATATATGCAATGAAATGTTATTCAGCCTTAAAAAAGGAGGAGATCCTGACATTTCCAACAACATGGATTAACCTAGAGGACATTATGCTCAGTGAAATAAGCTAGACACAGAAAGAAATGAGCTACATGACCTTACTTATATGTGGAATCTACAAATATCTGACACAGAGAAGCAGAGAGTAGAACGGTGGTTACCAGGGTGTGGAGGTGGGGAAATGGGGAGATGCTGGGCAAAGGTATTGAGTCATAGTTACAGAGGATGAATAAGT